GTCCCTTCCAACTCAAACCAGTCTGTGATTCCATGAACTGTGGAAAGCTGTCTACGCATGGGTCTGTGTATCCCCTCATGAGCACATTTTAAAAGAAAGGCAATCTACCACTCACTATCCACTGACCGACTCAACCTGATAAAAAAGTGCAGTTATAAGAATATGCTTACTCAGCATCCCTGCCAATATGTAGAAATAAATACCAAATCAGAGGCCCCTTTATGTTATTTTCAATTCTCTGCTCCACAGAAATGTTGGGACACAGGTCTCAAAACAAGGGGTACTCACACAGTTTAGGTTAGGAATCCTGTTCAAGAGCCTGCTTCTCTCCATTAGCTACACTGAGAACCTGGGTTCCTCATTCGTGCTACTGATTTCAGTGATGTAAACATACCCTATATGTTTTCTTCCCCTTTATACTGAAAGAAGCTCAATCCAGGTGACTGTCAAAAGGGGAGAGATTTCTAATTACTCTCCAGTAGCCCAGAGCAGCACAGCAGATTCCCAAATGTAACAGCAATCCACTTTGATTTAAGAATACTTGCCAGAAGCAGCACAACTTCATCACTTATTAAAAAGTGAATGAAGAATTGGGTTAATAAGCCTCCTACTGTAGCAGATGCTGAAAATTCAATTTTGTCTTATCCACTATACAGAGGCGATCCCTTATGAGGGGGAAAGTGCATCACTCTGACAGTTTAACAGGCTGAATAGTCAGCTGTGGCTCAGGTCTGCAGGGAGGCAGCAGAGGAATCCCCCACCAGACAGGGAAGCGATGCCTGCATACTGACCTTTCAGCCCAAAGGCATCTTGCAGTGCGTGCATGCAGATCTGCTACTGACCTCTGTTCGGGCAGCGCGCACATCTCTGCGTAGTACTTGATCTTTGGTTCTGTCCCACTTGTCCGAAGGGTGGCAACACAACCATTTTGAAATGTAAAAGTGATCATCTGACTGCTTTTACTCACTGGCAGCACCTACAGAAACAACAATATTTTATTACAGAACACCCCAACTAACACAAAAGTGAGGGGGGTTTGTTTGGGTTTGGTTTTTGTTTGTTTTTTAAAATACAACATTCAGTACATACAAAGCTAAATAAACATGTTTAAATCCCCTGCAGTATATATCCACCAGCCAACATAACAGAGTGGAACAAGGCATTTCAGCCTGACAAGCCTATTGCCTAGATCAGACTCAGTATTTCAGGACAACGGGACTGCCTCTTATTCCCATTGGAATTCCAACATCTGGAAGCCTGCTGGACAGCTTAAGAGTTGCAGGAGCATTGAGCTCACTTCAACTAATAAAGTTCATTCGTTGTTATATCAAAATAGTCAACACAATAGCCAAGCCATTTCACATTTAAGCAATTTTCTCCCCAGTAAATGTTGTTAAGCAGTCTTAATAGATGATGGTAATTATACTGCCAACTTAGCTGATACAGTAAGCTTTTCTGCATGGTTCTTGGTGTATTTAACTTTCAATCTCTTCAAAAACAGAACCTCTCCTACAAAAATACTGTGTAACTCACCGATTTCTTATTCGGCTGGCTGCTATCATAGCCAGTGGTAATATCTCGTACATGTAATATATTGTAAATGCCACAAAATTTTGGATAAGACTGAGGTGCATCGAAGTTCCGAAGCTTCTCGAATATCCTTTTGATAGTAGGAGGATCATAGCACAAGAAATAGGAAGTCTTTGATATGTGATATCCATACCTACAAGCAGATTAGCATTTTCAGTTACAAGATTCAGAAGTTTTCTGCACATCCGGTATCTAAAGAAAGTGCCTGTTTGGAAAAGCAGTAACAAAAAGAATGCAGTTCTCACAGCTGTGGAAACAGATATTTGTAGGCAAATGTTTGGACACTGAAGCAGATTTCACCGCATTAATCAGATCATTTTAAGCTATTTTTAAATTCAAGCAAAGGTTTCAGTTCCAAAGAAAAAAAAGCCAACCATTTGGTTAAGTGCAGCCTTGGTAGCCCTCAGGAAATTAATATGCAGTATCATTCTCACACTATCAAAAAATTGTCTGCTGTAGCCACACAAGCAGCAACAACAACAGATTATTTCAACAGCCTCCAAGGAAAGTGACTGATTATTTCATCCAAGTTAAAGCTACTACCCCAAATCAGACCTAAAGCAAGCAATCACTAGGTGCAGCAACCGTGTTCGCATGTTGAAATTTAAGTTGTTCTTCACTATATTCCACCTGCTCCTCATTCTACAGAGGCCCTTCTCTGCAGCTTAAAAAATTAAGTGTGACTGGAAGATGAATCCTTCCGTTATCACTGTCACTGACAGTTTTTCATTCCAGTTGTGCAGAAGTGTGCATATGACAGAGCAAACTCTTGAGTACCATAGTTAAATGCTGACCATCATTTGTGCTTCCTTGTTCCAAGTTGCTACTGGCCACAGCCTGTCTTTCTGCAGGGCTGGCAGGAAAAGGAATGGCATATGCATTTGCTGTAACTGTGCTGCTAATCCCGTTAAAGCATAGGAAATTCTGCTGATGAGCTGGGCTTATCACAGTATGACTTTTAATTCCGACTTATAAGTGTTCCTCATCTTATAGCCATGAATTGTGTCCATAGCTATTGAACACAGGCCATTGCTTTAATCTCTGTTCTATTACAGATCTCTGCCAGAACAGCACATGATCTTCTAACAATCCCCAGACCATGTTTAAGTGAAAATATTAAGTGTTTAAAGACCAGCACACAGACCCCAACTAAGATATAGCTGCCATCAGAAGGTAAGAGGAGTAACATAGCATGAATCAAATTAACAGAGCAAAGTTTGCCCTAGTGGATCCATAGGCAAAAATTCTACTCTTTCACAATTTATTGCAGGAACACGATAGAAAAGCCTCTGTAGTCCTTTGGGAGATACAGTATTCAAGTGGGATCTGTAGTACTGAAGACCACAGTCCACCATAGCACCAGAAAAAAAACAACTTACAATGAGAAAACGTGTACGGAATGCATTAAAATATTTACTCGATTATTCCCAGCTCCAAAATAGTTAAGTAGAACCTACTAATGAAAAATGCAACTTACGTTTCATATATCTCAATGAGTTTCTGTGCTAGTGTTAGGTTCTTGCCCTCCAAATAGGTTGCCATTTCAGCTATGACCACAGCTGCACTTACGCCATCTTTATCCAACACCGATGTGCCACACATGAAGCCTAGAAATAAAAAAAATTGATTGTGGAAAAATAAACCTGACATACTATTACACCTATTTACTTTCACAAGAAAAAGTTTAAAACTTCAAGAAGATTGGCCAATATACATAAGCTAGTTTTCTTACTGCATATGCATTCCCCCTTTTCTAAGGAATCTAATTTAATTGGGGTTTCTAGGGCTGGAAAGATACATGCTATAAGCAATTAATTCCAGAGAACAGATGTTATCAGTCTGAGGGGATTGCTCATAGTACAGTGCTAACTATAAAAATTTGCTTGTTTTGTGCAAGCGCATCAATACTGCAAAGAGTCTTGCCAGTATGCCAGAACTTCCCAGTTCCATGTAGCCATTAACATAAGTCCTCACAGAGAGGACCTGTGGGATATTAAACTGAGTAAACACAGATCTGATGCTTCATCTCAGCTAAAAGGTCACAAACAACAGTAGTTCGGCTCTGGCATTTCAGGACTTTCAACCTGTATCAGAACAGTTTTGTATCAGGAACATGCACAACAACAGCATCAGAATCAGAGATCCATTTATTGTCATTTATTATGACAGTTGGCAAGTTGATTTGATGAGAACAAAACACCAATACTAGTAACTACAAGAACAAAAATACTCTTCTGTTTCGTTTCATAACTAAGACCACTCATTTTTAATTGCATTCCCCTCCCCCCCAACTCTCAACATTTTCAAGTGATTTTAACGTACATACCAATAGATTCTTCAAATGCAAAGAGAACTTCTTTTCCATTATCTAGGAGATCTTTTACTCTACTTCCAATCCATTTAAAACCAGGGAGTGTTTCCTGAAACAGAAAAAGAGAGTGCATTAAATACACATTTTCAATTTAGTTTCAAGTCAAAGAAGAAAGTGTAGCGACTGTTCCTTTCACTTCCAGGATGTTTTAGACTCAAAGAAAGAAACAAAGAAAGATGATGCAGTCTGAATTTTGGGGTCAATGGGAAAGACTGCTGCAGAGTCAAAACACTAAAGCTTAAGGACACTTTTCTGATTTTCTTGAAATAATTTCCCTGAATTTAAATCTAATTAATTGACAAACAGAACAGGGACAGTAAAAGACAAACATTAGACAAGTTGTATCTTCCGTTTAGATTATGAATCTAAGGCAAAGAGTCACTGGATAGCATTTTCGTAGTGAATATTCAACTAGGACATGGTTATCAAATCAAGGAGTAAGCGTGCTTGCGAGACTGTGGTTCTCTCTGAGATCAGGTAAGATCTCCTGTGGTGCTTATCAGATGAGACAACAGTACAAAGTTATTCAAAAGGAAAAAAGTTACAGAACTAGAAACAGCAATTCTGGGTGATGGGAGGAAAGAGCACTGCTTGTGGTCTTCAAATCACGCAAAAGCAGTCAAAAGCTTAGAAACAGTTCTTCTTGGATTGAAGGAAGGTACAAAGAAGAGACCAAGGGGTTCTGTAAATTCCTAGGGTTTTTGTTTTGTTTTTCCAGTCAAATGTTTTCTGGAAAGGGATACAAAACAAAAAACAGTATTTAGTGAGACAATGAAATTCCCGACAAGGCAGTGGTATTCAACCTTATTAAACATATCTGGACAGTCAACTCAAAATGGTTTTCAGAGTTGCTTTCAATTTCAGTTTTTAATTCTTCATTGTTTGGCAAAGTATTTTTTCCTATTGCACATGGATTTAATTAAGACATTTATTAAACAAGACTTGGATCTTTGCATGTTTGTGCTAAGCTTTAGAGCACTTGCACCTGTTATGGCTAACATCCAACAGCCTCAGAAATCAGAGCAAGTACTTAATTTGAACGCAGGAACTAAACCAATAACCATCAGTCTGTGGGGGGCACCCCCCATTTTCTTTTTTTAGCAAGTCCTTCATGAAACTACATTAAAGATCTGAACATATGAGTTTGTCTGTCACAATTTGAAGTAAAAACAAATCTAAAACCTACTAGTGATCTGGGCACCTGAAAGAACATTGTGTAACCTGGAAGTGTTTGTTACAAATCCATCAAAAAGCACTGCATTTTTGCAGTAAACACACAAAGTGCACACGCTTTCATTCCCTGACACAGAAGAAGTTATCTCTAGGAAAATAACCAAGACAAAGACATTATACGTAATTTAGGTTTTCATTAGTGTCACCTGTTACAGCCTCCTCCTTGCAGCTTTGCATAAGTTGATCTCAGTCTGCATTCACTGTAATGTGTGTTGAGAAACACTCCAGATGCTGAAATCAGGCTTAAAAACTCCCAGCCAAGAGACTGGGAGTCATCTGTCTATTTTTCATTTTGTAAAGTCATAAGGGCGGGGGCTAGATGGAGAACATGGCAATCAGGTTTTACTCTGTCAAGAAGACATTATAAAAACCACACTTACTTCAAAGTGAAATCCCTCTTTAAGTGCAATTGCCCTCAAAATTTTCGAGGAGACTGTGGTCGCTAACATGTAAACATTCTTCACATCAGCATCTTCGGAGCAGTTTTCCTTCCAGCAAGAAAACATCCACCACCCAAACAAAGCTGCTAGCTCGTTGCCAGTGAACACCTTCCAGCAGCCACTGCAGACAGGACAGAAAATAGAAGAGCTCTTTCAGGTTTCCCAGGAGCATCCACTCAGGGGGAGATGTTTTCTGCAGTCATCGGAACAAGAGGAATCTGAGCACACCACTGACAAGCTGCTCTATACAAAGCCACCATACTAACAGGACTCCACATTTATCACGTCTCAATGATTTACAAGCCCAGTGCATTCTGTTAGCAAGCAAAGATACCAATTAAGTATCCTTACTATCAACTTTAAAACAGCTTAGGTCTCTTTAATTTATCAAACAGAAGGATAGCAGTCTATACGGTCTATACATTGCAGCCAGGCAATGCCTGCGCAACCGCGCATTACAGATGGTTACTTACACAATGATCAGAATTTAGGCCTGTTAGTGGAAGAAAAATAATTTCTATTCAATATGAAGAAGCCAGGGAAAACCAAACAAAGAAAACAAAAGCAGCCCACAACGGCTAACTGTCCCAAGGTAGAATTTGTTTGCTTAATAGAAGTGAAAAAACAGTAACAACAAGATTTTACTGTCTTTAGTAACCACTCAACTTTTCAGTTAAGTCTTATTTGACCATTTACTTTAACATTGGTATTTAATCTTTTCTGAATTATTAACTGATTTTTATGTATTTAAACCACATTATTTCCAGCTAAGCTATACCAAAAGATGAAGCTAGCAAGAAAAATACCCAAATAGCTAAGTCACAACAGGAAATAGTAGGTTGAAGGTGCGTGCCTGTCTACCATTTGGGGACGTTCTGCAATTTTCACTACTTCTGCAGAAAGAGATAAAATAAAAGGTCCCATCACTTACTTCTCCTGCTGTTCTGCCACGGCTAGTCTGTCTGCATCTGGATCAGTGGCCACTACTACTTTAGCATTTTCTTTCTCTGCAAGCCTCAGTGACAACTCCTGGGAGGGAGCGGGGGGGGGGTAAAAAAATCACAAAAATCAAATAAATCCACAGTCTTACTTCTTAATTATATATAACATGCAGTTAAAGAAAATCTCATATGGATTGCCCACTGCATTAACACAGCTCAAAGCCAGGTACTCCCTTTTCCTTCTTGTTTTTCACCTCAGCATCAAATGCAGAGAAAAGTCCATAGAAACACATAAATCTGATGAAGTAGAAACAAAAGATACCAGCACAGATTCTCCTTCTTCAGGATTTGGGCATTTGACAGTAGAGAAGTCAGGATCTGGATCTTTTTGTTCAGGAACTGGAATGGGGGGCTGAAAGCCAAATGCTTTGAAAGCCAACTGCACGTAGTCATGTCCAACTCCATGAAACGAGGTATGAACAAACTTCAGATTTGTTTGCACATTTAGTTCCCTGAGAAGGAAAAAAGAATTTCAGTGAGATTTTAGTTATTTAACAAGACTACTTTCATGTAGGAAAGCAAAAGAAAATGCAATTACATTTCATACTGTTCTGCTGATTTCTGCATTCATTTCAAAGAAGGAATAAGTGAAAAGAGCGCATTTGGACTTTCACTAGAAAAAGCTTCTTCTCCTGGAGCATGAGATATTTACCTTCTCCTGAAGCAGCTGAAAGTCTCCCAAGAAGGAACTGAGATCTTCAAAGATCTCACTCTGGCTCTACTCAACCTACATTATTCATCCTCCTCCTTTTATTCTTGTCTTCTGCCCCATCTAACCTTTAAACTTAACCTTCTCACTTCTATTCCATGCATGCATACCTCACCTTTACTCAGAATTTCTGCATTTTATTCAGAACTCTTTCAGCATATTAATTTGCATAAAATGGTTCACATCAGGGTGCTTTACTGTAGCCTGGTGTCCAAAAGCAAGCTGCTTTACTGTCAAGAAGTGTGGTTTAGTCTTCATGATGGTGACCATTTAATTTAATGACACATCAGAAAAGGGATGGGGAGAGACAGAATGGGGAGGTGACCACAAATTATTCCCACCATGAAGAGCACAGAGCCTCAGGCAGAAAGTGATGTCTGTGGCAGAGTGGAGCACCCAGCTTCTGTGAACCGTAAAGACAGAAATCGAGTCACTGATTTGTGACGACAAAAATCACTACAGACAGGTCCAAAACTATTAAAGTTTTGGAAGACAGCCTAGTCCCGATACTCAAATCAAAAATGTTTGTGTCTGGCAGCATCACATGCTTTATTATTGAAGTCTATCTGTTGACAGTCAGTTTTTCACATGTAACCCAGAGCTTACTTAAAAATGTAATTTAAATACATTTTGTTTTATACAATACCTATGATAACAGATCTTTTTCAGATCTTCCATGTAACAGTCACAAATTTTCTTCAGAGGATCCTGTCTAAGGGGACTGGTGTCTACCAGATTCTCATTCCAAGAGCCATTCCATGGTTCAACGCACTCTTCTATACATTTTATAATTTCCTTATCGTGAGGAGAGGTGATCTGTGCTCCATTTTCCCAATAAACCTGGTAAAAGTTTAAGGAAAACAAGAAACAGTTTATTTACAAAGATTATCAACTTAATAAATTACTTTAGCTGTAGGATTCTGCATACTTCCTGCTTCTTGAAGTCACACAGAAAAGGCTAGCATCAGGCTGGCTCGAGTCTCAAAAATCATTTGCAATCATATAGTTTATTATTTTAGTTATGTAATGATAGCTACTCAGCAACACGACCTATTTTCAAAAAAGCTGGTATTCAGCTATTATAACTGAAATCATCAAGACGTGAGAAACCAAAACTGGGCACTTGCATTTGAGAGTGTTGTGCAAACTGCAACAGAAGAAAAACATGACCTTCTACATAGTCTGGCATTCCTTTTGAAAAAGAAGCACAACTTGGTTTTGAAATCAAAGCAAAACAGATAAGCAGTGTGCCAAGGTACATGTTTTTCCATAACTGAACAACTGTAATCTTTCAACTGGAAACACTACCAAACCCTGAATGATAAAAAGTCTTTGTTAAAGAACTATTTAGATGCCAGTTTTCCCACAGTTTGTTTCCAATGGCATGGTTGAGTTCACAGTGCAGACTTTCTACTCAGACCAATCTGTCTCTCTTCTTGTCCACTGGCTTTCATGAAGCCCGCAGGTACTCAGTATCTTCAAAACAATGGGTTTGTCAAGTTTGGTTAAAATTGTCCAAAACCTTCAGAAGCTCCCGAATTCACAGGGGATATAGTGAAAGATAAAACAACTCTTGTGGAAGACTAGAAAAAACATTATCCCGACAACAGTAAAATGCTTTGTATCAGAAGACACAAAGATAATAGCTTCTTGAGAAATGAAGCACCTGGAAAACAGATGCAACTTATTTTCTTATTCATTGCTATAGCTAAGCAAAAGTAAAGGCTGGTGAAGTACTTGTCCTCTGTGGAACAAGTTGTAAAGTGCAGTACAGTCACCTCCAAGAGTTCTCTCTGTGCAGAGTAAGACCGGTTTTCCTAGCATTGCCATTATCGCTGAGCTGTTACTAAGCTTCTAGTATGCAAAGTTCAGTTAAAATTTAGAGTTTCGTTCAGATTCTTATGAAGTTTAGAAAGGAAATACTCGAGAATTTCCTGTAGAAAGGAATACTCAAGATACACAAGCAGTGTGGTCTTAAGTTCCTTCTATAAGAAGGAAGCGTGTGTAATTCAGGTTATAGAAGGATGGATTACTGGAAAACATTTCTCCTCCTAACATACACACACATATGCTCCAGAAGAAGCCAAATGCCAAAGGCACGTAGGTAATACTGGAAAGCAGCTGGCTGTGACATGCTACGAACTTCAAGTTCAAGCCTTACCTTGTATCCATTGTCCTCCTTCCGGTTGTGGGATGCTGTGATCATCACACCAGCCACAGCTTTGAGCTGCTGAACAGCATAGGGCTACAAAGGAAACCCAGAAATGGTGATTTACCCAAGAGCTCTGCAGCTGACACAAATAACATTATATTATTAGGATGGTTATGCAATAGAATGCTACAGAAGTGGCTCAATGTTTCACCAGGTTATTTGAAAGCTATATACATGAGTACTCATCATTCTGTTTCCTTTAGCTAGTAACAGAGAGAAAGCTTGTTCCGTTCTGTTGCATAAGAACATTATTCTATTTACCAATTACATAAACACAATTGTTAACCAGCCAACTAAAGGGAGTCTACGCTCAGGTTACACTGGTATTGGAGACAGAGAAAAGAGGTTGAAATAGAACAAAGGAATTCACCAAAAGGCTTGCTGAAAAACAAGGGACAGGTATTTCCAGCTAAAGAGCATCCAGTCCTCTCAGTCCTCCCCTCAAAACAAGATCCACAGCATACACAGCATGCTAGAAAAGCTTGCAGAATAGAAAACAAGGATTTAAAACCCTGCAAGAAAAAGCTTCTGCGAGTAGAACAGAAAGCTCTATTTGAGACACTAAAGGTGGAGGTAATCCTTCATTTTTTCCACTCTAAGCAGTGTAAGTCTTATGTCCAAAGACATACAGTCCCTATTTATATGTGTGTGAATATATACACATATATATCACCTTTGACCCTTATGACACCCAGATGTTTAACGACTGAATAAAAGAATAGCAGAATGCTTCATCTGTAAGTAATAGAGCAAAGCCTGGACTGCAATAACTACTGCCCTTGTGTAGCAGCCCAGGGTGAAATGTGATTCTACTGGCTCTTTGCACACAGAAAAATTCAGCAACATTCCTGTTACAGCCTCCTTGAAGAGCTAAGTTTACCAAGCAGCCCCTATTTTTCTGTTTAAATAACAGAATTTGAGAAGAAAATTGCTAGTTCACATTTTTAGTAATCTTTCAAACACTCCCCTAACTGCACGGTTCAAGAATATAAAAGAGAAGATGACTCACCACGAACGGTGTAGGGACATACGTGGAAAAGAAGTATACAGGTACATCTTTAGCCAGCAGGACAGCTGCAGTGAGCTTTGCAAGTCTACCAACATGAAAAAGAAAACATTCAGTCAACCCAACTCCCCTTGACAACCCAATAGCCACATGGCATTACTGTAACCTTTATTTGACTTGTTTCTTAAATTCTTTTTTCTTACACTAAAAGTAGTATCCTACAGTTTACACAGTCAATGTAATACAGTTTTCAGGTTCCAGAATCCAAGACAGTGCTTTTATTTATGGCACTTCAGCCAACCATGTAAATAAACCAGCAATATCAAAACCAAAGATACAGAACCTACTGGTGTGGCACTTGTCCTTCATTCAAGGACAGAACCGATCTCCCAGAAAGTTTAAAGTGCCAGATGTCTGCAACAGCAGGTTTGGAAAAAACATTCAGTATCCCACACAGCAAAGCTTGTTTGCCAGCCTTGTTCAGGAGCTTCAGACTACATCCATGAAGCAGATCTATTCCTAAAATATACTTCTGCAAACCAGCACGCTCTTAGTCCAGAAAATTTAGAAATAGTAACAGCACCTGCGTTTTTAAATCTTTCCTTTAAAATAACTTTTCCTTTCAAGCAGCATGGAAACTCATTCTCTTTCAGGTAACTGTTTGAAAAGAACAGTCTCATATTAAGTCAGGTACACACAGCTCAGTAGTTAATGGGAAGTCTTGCTCAGAATCAAAGCAGATGAGAGATTAAATAGCGTTAAGTTTGCTTTGCTCGCTCATTTTTACAGACAAGCATTAATACTTGCTTCTTTATCTCCCATGATGAGTATACCATAGTCTACATTTCAGTTACTCAGAATTTCACTATAGCACCTATCAAATATAACCTGAAACCACTTAAAGGAGTATGAGAGCTCAGCGTGTAGTTGAAGCTACCGAAATTTTGCTTGTGTATCACAACGGTTTATGTCAACTTAATTACAGGATACAGCCAGACGGTCTGCCATCTCCCTTGGCACTGGAACTGATGCAAAGAAAGGGGTGCTCCTGCTCACACAGTGTTAGATAAACACGCTGATCCCACTGAAAACACTCTTTTAGGGAGGTTCAATTTGATTTTAGCACTACTGTAACTGTGTCATCCCAAGCGGACAAAAGAAACATGTAGCTGAGAACTGATTTGCTCCATCAAGTCTGAATTCCAAGCTTTGTGTGGCTGAAAACGAATGTTTTTCTTAGGCTTCCCCATTTTTAAGCTGCGCATAACCCAGACAATTTGGGCAATGGCCTTGCAAACATAAGCGTGACAGATGAGTTTAAAACCCTTATGCCAAAGCCTGGTGGATAATGTGCCATGGGTGTGCGAAGACCAGACGGGAAGGTGTGGAGAGGCAGACTTCAGGGGAGTGTAGACACCCTTAGAAGACAGTCACTAGATTCTGTGCTCTATTATACCAAGATGTTTTACATTCCTAAAATATTAAATGTTGACAAAAAACTAAATTAAAAAAAACAACCACCCTGCATTAGTTACAACAATTAACTACAATAACTACATTAACTAGACAATAGTTAGCTACCAGGCTGGCTTGTTTTTTGTAAAGCATGCCATTACAACACCTGTTTGGCTCCCCAAATGACAAGGGATTAGGATTCCTTATAGAACTCAAAAAGCCTTTTTTTTTTTTTTACAGTTCCTCTCTCCCCTTTCCTTGCAAAGAGCATGATTTGGCATTGCAGCAAGTTTACATCTTAAGCATTCCAGGTAAAATATTCCCAGTATGGAAATACACTGGGATTGCAGACTAGCATAATGGTACCAAAACACTGGGTTACAGTAAGCTGCAGGTAGAATTCTTCTCCCCCAAGCAAGCTTAAATCAGATGCATAATACAAAAGACCGACAGCGTTAACAATACTGCATTAACATTTAGTGATTTCAAGCTAGATGTTAGTATTCTGAATTTACCTTCACATTCAAATTTCTCTCCAGGCATATCAACTTCTTAATGTCTGCCTAATGTTCTTGTGCATTTAGACTGTAAATTCTTTGGTGAAGTGACTAGCCTTACATTCCACATTTGCTGGCAACTGGTATTATAAAGGCTTTAGTCCATGCCCCTCTTCATTACTATTTAAATGGACTAAGGGAGGGGAAA